GCCAAGTGGTAGGCCCCCATGCGTCCCTAACGGCACTAGGCATTCATGAACCCAGGGGTTCAGGTCCCAGTTCCCCCATCTTCTGTCCTCCCAGCTGCCTCCCGCCGCTAGCTTAGGAACTGGCTTTTCCAGAGCCGTGGTCCCAAAAGCCCAGCCCCCTCAGACCCTCTCGACCTAGGTGAGTCAGCCCCAACCAGACAGGACCCACCAGACAGTAAGACACCTGGATCCAAGAATCTTGGCCCCTTACATCCTCTGGACATATTTGAGGGCCCCCTCAGCCTCCCAGAACCGAGGAGTCTAGGTCTTCAGACACCGACCCCCGACCCAGGATGTAGCTTTCCAGCCCTCAAAGGACCTGGTGCCCAGGCCTGCAGGGCCCTGAAGCCAGGCCTTGTCGTCTTTGCACCGGAGAATAGGACCCTGAGCTAGGGATGGTGGGAGGAGGGGCCAGAACGCCTGGGTTCTGGCCTCCTCCCCCGCGATTCAGTTTTAACCCCTTCGGGCTCCAGTGCGGCTGCGCCGGGGTGGGGGCGGAGCCTGTCTCCGCGGCAACAAGGCCGCGAGCCTCTCGGGGGACCTGGGTCGCCATAGCAACGGGAGAGCTGCGGCGCCCCCGCCCAGTGGGAGCTGTTTCCCGGGGAACAGTACCTCTTAGGAGGCGGGTGCGCGGTACTTGGTGCTTAGGAGGCGGGTGCTGGGGTTCTGAACCTCCGGGTCCTAAGGAGCAAAGGTCTGGGGACACACGTGCCAGCGTCCCTGGGCCCTCTCTGACCCCTCTGACCCGACCCTCAGGCTCCAGGGTCGGCCCAGGTGGCTGGACTATGTGGGCACCTAACTCTTCACCGGGACCTGCGCACCGGCCGCTGGGAACCAGACCAACAGCGCTCACGACGCTGTCTCCGCGATCCGCAACGGGTGCTGGAATACTGCAGACAGGTGGGCGGGACCTGCTGGGAGGGGCGTGGTCCGCAGGAAAACGGTTCCGAGACTGTCCGGATAGCCCAAAAGAAAGAAGCTAGTCGTGCAAAAGGCATGGTCCAGGGAGAATGAGAGATCTAAGTAGTCAGGGGAAGCTAGGGGGCGTGGCTGAGAAAGAGGCGAATTTAGGATAGGGCAGGACCTGTTTTTGAGAAACTAGGGCAGGAAAGGAGAACTGTGCAAAGAGGGTCAGCTAAGAACTATATCCAGTGAAGAGACAGTTTAGCAATCTGTGGTAGGTACCTTAAGGAGTAGGGGCACAGGTGGGCGTGGTCAAAGGAGAGGCGGGGCTAAGAAAAAAGACCTTTTGGACCTGCAAGAGAGTGGAGCCCAATGCGAGAGTGGAAAGCTGGGAGGTGTAGCTATGAAAAGCCAGTTCTAATACAAAGAGAAGGGATGCTTACTGAGAGGCCAAACAGAGAAAACGGTGAGGCTTAAAAGGAGGGCGGAACCTATTGGAGGAGGGGACAGAGGTGACCAGAAGAGAGGCAGGTTTACGGGGATTGAGTTTCTGGGCAGATGGCGGGGCTTCTGAGGGAGAGCTACTGGGGGCGTGGCCAAGGAGCTTGCTGGCTTAGCTACCGAGTCTACCGAGAAGCAGAACCTAGGGAGATCACTAGAGCCTTGTAAAGGGACATGGCCAGTGGAGAAGCACAGCTGGCAGGGGGCGAGGCTGTGGGCTGATCACTCTCACCCGCTGCCCCCAGATGTACCCGGAGCTGCAGATTGCACGTGTGGAACAGGCGACACAGGCCATCCCCATGGAGCGCTGGTGTGGGGGCTCTCGAGGTGGCCGCTGTGCTCACCCCCACCACCAGGTTGTGCCTTTCCAATGCCTGCGTGAGTCCCAGGCTGGGGGCAGGGAACAGAAGTGGGGGTTTCCCTGGGGTGAGATTCTGAGCCCTGGTCTCAGGCTCATATTAGGAAGCTGGATGCATGCCTGGGTCCAGAGTGGGGCAGAGAAACCTCTGAGGATAAAATGTCTGGATTCTGAAGAGGGTAGAGCTAGTGTCTGTGGGAGAGTCTCACTCTGGTGCCCCCACTCTCCAGCAGGTGAATTCGTGAGCGAGGCCCTGCTGGTGCCTGAAGGCTGCCGGTTCTTGCATCAGGAGCGCATGGACCAGTGTGAGAGTTCAACTCGGAGGCATCAGGAGGCACAGGAGGTCAGGAGCCTGGCCCATCCATTCTCACTCCCCAACCCAGGAATCCAGTCCCCTAACAACCCACCCCCCCCTCCCCAA